CATCACTGCTCAACTCTCGACTGACGTCAATCTTATCCCAGCCCGAGAACTGCTCCCTTCTACCTAGGCTGCCTGCTTAGATAGCAGATGGTCTGGTTTTCTGGCACACCATTGTCAGGGGGTGGTCAGGAAGTGGTCCTTCATATTTTGAGCCACAGAAATAGGACTAAGCATGCCCAGCTAGGTCTCCACGACCCAAGTACAAATTACTTCACCCTCAATGGCCCAGCCCCCATGAGCCCAGGTTCCATGGCCCAGCACGGTTTCTCATGTGACCAACCAACTCTAAGATGGATGAAGTTGGTGTTGTGGTCCTAGAACTGTAGACAGGGGGTAAACATCAAGATGTGAGGTGCCCAGGGCCAAGGGAGAAAGGGATGGTCCATTACAGGAAAAGGTGAGGGGCTTTCCCACTCACGGGTCTTGAATATAGTCCAGGTCAGGTTCCCAGGGCAGCCAGCCTCCAGAGGTGGCAGGACTTGGATGTCAGTGTCTGGGGTAGCATTGGGGGAGAGGGAGGCAGGACCCCAGGCCTGAAGGAGATGGGGGACTCCATGTGTGAGCTTGGGGGTGACTTTCGCATCAGCCCCTGGGGTGGCCCCTCTCCTCTCATTCCAAGGCCTCTGTTTGCAGCCCTCTTTCCTTAGACGAGGAGTTCTGGTAGCACAGACCTAAGGCATTTGACTGCTAACCTGAAGGAAGATAAAGCAATCTACTTCCATAGTGATACTGCCTCCAAAACCCAAGGAGGGGTCACTATGAGTCAGAGCCGATTCCACAGCAGTGAGGTTTTTTTTTTTTTCCCCCCTAAGATGAAGAACAGGGTTGCCTTTAACTGAGGAAAGTGATCCTTCTTGTCACATTCACAAAGTAACTTCTTTTTATAACTGGGGCCCCTTCAGCCCTGGCCCATTCACCACCCACTACGGTGTCATTTGGATCTGACTTGCCTTCTGCCCCAAGCTTATCCCTTTGCTGGAAAGTCCAACCCACTACCAAGGGTGGTGGTGGTTGTTATATGCCGTTAAGTCGGACCTGACTCATAGCGACCCCTCCTTGGGTTTCCGAGGTGGTATCACTATGGAAGTAGACTGCGCAACCTTCCGAGTGGCTGGTGGGTTTGAACTGCTAGCCTTCTGGTTACCAGTCAAGTGCCTTAGGCACTAAGCTACCAGAGCTCCCACTACCAAGGGAAGTAATGTGAATTCTATCCTCAGGCCAGTGACCCACAGCAGGGTGACTGTTTGCCCCTGTCACCAGCCCCATAAAACATTCCTTCTAAGAAACTTGAGTTTGGGACTTATTCTTGCCACATGAGTTCCTTGGGGTGTCTCACACAGCACAGGAGGAACTGCGGGACTGAGCTCACCCCAAGACAACTTCTTTGTCCTCACCTCCGGCTGTTCTGCTGCACAGTAGGCAGGGGAAACTGTTAGCTGAGCCCTTAAAATTGGAACAGAGGCTGGGGTTCCAGTCCTGAATTTGGGTGATGTTTTGGGGTTATCTTGTGCCCATGTGGGGTTTGTGAGGACTCAGCCCCTCCTTGCATTTCCCACAAGCCCCACATCTAGTTGGGTTGATGTGGAACCCACCTTGGTCCCAGCGTTCCCGACCCAGTCTCGTGCTACGCTCATCCCGCCTGACCCTCCCTTCTCCTTTCTGAGGTAACAGCCCAGAAAGTCACAAAACCTGTGCAGTGGCTCTTCCAGAATCCCCCACATCTACTTCAACCCCTTCAAGCATGCTCTCACTGGAAATGCAATAAAAACTCTTTGACCTCTTGTCTCTACACTGTTCGTCATCTTTGTAGTTTTCCAAAGCCACAGGGTATGTTTTACAAATCTGATAATGTATCTTCAGGTGACTGAAAACTTCAGATTTCCTAAAGCTAATTATCCAACTTTCATATTCTTCCATTACTCAATAGGCTTTGAGCATGTATTGACTTGTCCCAAGGCATGATATTGACAGGAGCAAAAATAATGAGACTGAGACTGAAAGGGAGATCAGAACTCTGAAGAGTTTTGACTGTAGGGAGGCAAGATAACAAAGAAGTTGGGAAAAAGGAGCCCTCGAGGAATTGTGAAGTCAGGGACCAGGAACAGCCATGAAAAGGACAGCTTTCTAGAAGTGAGGAGAAAGAGCCTGCCTTAGTAGGTGGTTAGGGAGAACCACGTGAGGAGTGACTATCTAACTGGAGCTAAAGACCCCAGGAATGGTTCCAGATGGTAGAAGGATCAGGGAAGTCCAGGTCTGACAGGGTGCACACTCCGGGAGTCCTGGAACTCCCTGACCAGGGTCTCTATTCTGTGGGAGCAAGATTTGTCCAGAACTGCCTGCAGCCTCCTCCCCAAAACCACTCAGTGCACCACCTCCAGGTGTTGGGTGCATACTAACCTGTTGCCCTCGACTCACCTTACCTCATGCCAACCCCATGCGTTACAGAGCAGAACTACCCCATGGGGTTTTCTGGGCTACAATCTTTACAGCAGGTTGCCAGGCTTCATGTCCTAGCACTGTTTCTCTTGTGGTCACATCAACTCTACGACAGGTGACCTATCTTCTGCAGTGATGCTGGCTGGGTTTGGACCGCCCACCTTTGGGTTGGTTGTTGTTAAGCACCGTCGATTAAGTTCTAACTCACAGAGACCCGTGGACAACAGGACGGAATGCCACCCAGTCCTGCACCATCACTGCTGTCTGTAGACATTCCACATTCCATTCAATGATGGATGTTTTGAGTCGTGCCGTATCAGCAAATGTACATTTGTACATGCTGAAATGTACATCCTGAGAGCTTTACTGCATGCACATCATTAAGGTTGACTCTACTCTGAGGAGGCAGCTCTTCCCTAGTTGTATTTTTGAGGCAGTATCTCTACAGAAGTAGATTGCCCCATCTTCCTTTCAAGGAGTGG